TTATAAAAAAATGTACGAAATCTTAAGAATTTGTTTGTTAAATAACAGAAATAGTTTTTACTCTACAAAATGTTGGATTCCAGCTGTCACACTTTGGACTGTGCTTTGATCTTCAATCAGTTACATATGTATGTATTTATGTATGCTTAACAGACATACTTATGTATATATGTACATACATACAAATGCATTGAAATTTTGTTGTTTCCATTGCAGTTGTTGCTGCGACGCATTAAAATTGCAATTACACCAACACCTGCCAAACAAAAACTGTAACAGCAACAACAACAACGCCATCTTATCAACTGTAAACTGTGACAGCATGTTATGTGTCCGCCCTGCATGCCCCACTACAATGTAATCACACGTGTTAGTCGTTAAATATGCAGCTAGCTTAGTGGAGAGGGAGAGAAAGAGAGAGCACGAGCGAGAGAGAGGCATATGGGAAGATAGAGAGAGTGTAGTAATTTCGTAGCAGTATATGTACATACATACATATGCACGTGTTGTGTCTGGTGGCGCCTTTGGGTTAAAAGCGGTTTCGTAAGTTACACACACACACACACCCTCACACACACACACACCCTCACACACACACCACGCGCGCATACATATGCATGTACATGTCATAGAATGCTATCGATACGCCGTTACAAATGGCAAGTTGTAAAATGTAAAAAGAGAAGAAGAGGCAAGATAGAGACAATATTAGCAATTCATTTTGCGATATTAATGAGTTTTGTTTTTGTTGCTGTTCTTGGTCTTGTTGTTGTTGTTGCTTCTTGGTCGAATTTGCATTTGAATTAGATAATTTTTAGCATTTAACCATTACTAACATAAACACAACAACTAACAAGTGTGACGCCGACTGCGCTGGCAGCGCAGCCACACTTGTTGCCTTTATTTACGCAGTTGGCTTTGGCGCAATGGCGTAGCATTTTCTACTATGGCAAATGGCAACAGCAGAACGAGCGAAAAATTGAACACGCGCAAATAATTGCGCAAAATAACAACAACAGCATTTCGAATACATATGAATATACACACATATGTACGTACATCCATATGCATGTACACATGTATGTATGTATTTACGTATGTATATATGTACATACAGTCATATGTACATATGTATGTATGTATGCAAGTGTAATCGCAGCAGCAGCGCCAACAACAAGAACAAAAACCACAACTGCAACTTTGTGGAAAGCACAGAAAAGTGACTACTAGAAAGAAAGCTCTACTCGACCCGACCAGCAGATTCCCTGTAGTCCGTGCGGCAGTGTAAAATGATGCGAAACTCAATAGCAATTACGAAATATCACAAACAAATGAAGTTATAAATAATACAAGGAGGTTGAAACAAAAAATACAGAAAAACTACGGATATTTTTACACAACGACTCATTGAATAACATATCCTCTACTGAAGTGATGAGAATGGTCAACATTATTGTTATTTTGGACACTCAATCTACGGAGATGTACGAGATATAATTTGAAAACTGAATTTCGATACAGGTATTAATCGATAACAATTAAATGGTAATAGTAATCGAAATAATTTCAACTTTCTAGATCTTAGCTCGTAGCTCTGATCAAGAACTGCCACGCCCCCTT